TTAAATACAAAGACACACACACATATATACATATATAATGCATCTAAATATATGTATATGTCAGAGAATTCGGACATTCACCAGTTACTTAAAATCTTTTTAATAAAATTTAATTCAGCTTTTTAACTTCAGTGAATCAATACATACGGGTATTGTACAAGCAAAAATACAATATAAAAATACTTATAAAAATATATGAGAAATTCCACAATATCCCAATAAAAACTCCATAAATGCAAAAATGCTATTGAAAATCTATAAATTTTGTGGGGGATTTATTAAAGTTGGTATGTATGAAATCCTTACAGGAATTTTATTTTTCCCCTGTTTTTGTGTCATTATTTTTTTCCCAAGATATAATTAAAATTTACACTAGAAATATTCATCAAAGCCTACAATCATACCCAATAAAAAGTCATTTTCTATAAAACCAACGAACTTATTGAAAATCTATACATTTTGTAGAGGATTTATTAAAGTTGGCAGGTGTAAAATCCTATCCTTACAAATTTAATTTTTCTCTTTTTTTGTGGCATTACTTTTTTTCCAAGAAACTGTTAGAATTTCCACTAAAAATATTCCTCAAAACCTACAATCCTACGGAATAAAAAGTCCTTTTCTATAAATCACACGAACTTATTGTAAATCTATAAATTTTGTTTAGGATTTATTAAAGCCAGTATGTATGAAATCCTATCCTTACAAATGTAATTCTTTTTTCTTGTACCATTACTTTTTCCCAAGAAATTCCACCAGAAATATTCATCAATATCTACAATCATACGTAATAACAAAATCTATCTCCATAAATCCAAAAAAAATGTTGAAAATCGATATATTTTGTGGTGTATTTATTAAAGACGGCATGTATGAAACCCTATCCTTAAAAATTTGATTTTTCTCTTCTTTTGTGGCATTGCATTTTTCTAAGAGCTATTAGAATTAAACACTAGAAATTTTCATCAAAACGTACAATCATATCCAATTAAAAAATCCTTCTACATAAATCCGATGGAAAAAAAGGCTGAAAAGCTTAGAAATTACTATTTGAGGTTACGAAAAAAGTTATGAATACCACCCAGACTCTATACAAAATGTTTGCCATAAAACGAAACCAACCGAACTCACATAGACTAAATATAAGAAAGAAAGTCACATGTTTTAATCTCCAATTCTATAATTTAAATATTTATTACGCTGCAAATGAAGGCTGAAACATACACATTATCCAACTTGGCGCCAGTCGGTCCATCCATAAACCATCACAAAAATCAAGCTCAGGATAGTAAATAGGCAAGATGTATAATTTTTATTCAAAAATAAATTAGGTATACTTTAAAAAAAAAAAAAAAGAAGATATTTATTCTATAAACAACTTCACACAAATAAATTATATTTGGATATTCATTATTAATGATCACTGGTTTACCTTAGATAGTTTGAAGTGGTCATTTAAAGCGCTTGAGGCACTAGATAATGATCATTTGAGGTTTAGTTGAATTCTAGGTGGTTCTTGAAAAACACCAAATTTATCTGTTGTGCTGTTTACGTTTCATTTTTCAAGAATGGTTCCATCTAATAAACGAATAAGCTTCTCTACCTATCCCTTTTTCTGAACCTTTATAAATGACAGCACATTAAATGAACCGAAAACTCCAAACAGGTATATCAAAATAATAAAATAATAAACTGTTTATTTTTTCGGTTGAATAGTCATTGTGTTTCTTCTCAATATCCTCTTACTCAAAACCATCTTCCTTTAAATAAATAAACAACTAACAACTATGAACCTTATGGGAGTTGTTTACGAATCTTCAGAAAGAAATTAAAACAAATTATTTGACCTTTTGAAGGTTTCTCGAGGTATAACAGCCTTACGTTATGGACTTTTGGCACCTGTTTTTAAAAATTAAAACGGTTCATTTCATCAGAAAATAACCCCATAAACGTTTTCAGCATTTTTACGTTAAAAAAGAGACACTGTGAGGTGTTTTGGAGGATGAAAAATAATAAGATTTGGAGTTCCAAAGTTGGCGATATGTTATATATATATATATATATTGTATATATTATACATTTTTATCCAAGCAAATCAATCGACCACCCACGAGAGTTACTCCATCGTGACAAAAACTATTGTTCTATACATAACAAAACTAAAGTATATACAAAGACCAAGAATCCACTGGGTAATGGTTGAAATGACATGGAATCAAAAACAGCTTGCGATTTCTAAACTTAATTGATGGCTTGAGCTTTTGGTTTACCATTTTAGTCCACTGTTCAGCCTAGAACTTCAGTGCCGGAAATAACGTAACGCCTGAATTGACGCGTGGACCAACACTTTTTGCTTGAAATCGCATACAAAAACAATTTCATTTTATATGTGGATATGGGTGTAACCAAAATATTACATCGTTAACTGAATTTACTATTACAAAATCGAAGATTTTTAAACAGTAAAACAAATTCTTTGCATGCTCTAACGTTTTAAGAAAACCTATTTTCTTTTTTACAAAGAAATAAAATTCTAAATTGTCAAGAGTTGATTTTTAAAGTGAACTCTCTTGATGCGTGGTCCAACACTTCTTGCTTGAAATCGCATACAAAAACAATTTTCATTTATATGTGGATGGGTGTAACCAATGTGCTTAAATAATATAAATATACTTAAATTTACAACTTTTTTTATATTTAATTTTACTTATTTTACTTTTATATGCAAGTTTCAGTGAGTTTAAATTATTGAGCCCGATTTTTAAACATTCAACACATTTTGAAGGATTGTCGTCTCAGAAGATATTATTCATCACAAGGAACAACATTGATACACAATGCTGTTCACAATGTACATTAAATGTGTAACGTATGTAATGCACAATGCACATTATAACAACAATGTACATTACAAGTTAATGTACAATGTTGTTCACAATATACATTACATGTGTAATATATGTAATGTGGTGCAATGTGCATTATAACAACAATGTGCATTATAACAATGTACATTGCAGTTTATAAAATGTACATTTTGCCAATAGGTAGACAGCCTTGGTCCGCCATGGGGCTGTTGCGCCAATGAAGAAAAAGAATATATAATAATAACGTAACTGAAGCACTAATGAATATTTTGACAAAACTTCACACATATGTCAAGGATAGTGCCAACACTAAAAAAGAAAAAAAAATTGAAATACCATACGCCCGGGAAATTTAAATTGAAAACTGGTCTTACTTTTGGATGCAGTAGTATGTGAAGTAGAAATTCATTTAACTAGCTTACCAAATCTTTGTTGATTGTGACGAAAATTTGTTTGGAACTTTTAATTCTCATTTTGTTTTCTAAACCATAACCTGTAAATCCTAATTTAACTCACTACCACCTTCCAATATAAATCCGCACTAGTTCACCAGCCATAAAACCAACCATAAAACATCTTCCCATAACGTGAGAATTAATCCTCGCCACCACTGCAGCGCATCCCACTGAGTTTCTCCAGTTGATAAAAGTCTCTGAAGACAATAAGCCAACCGAGACAAAGGGTTTGGCAAAACAGTAGCGTTAAGATATGACACTGGCTCGTCATAAATCTTCTCTTATTCTGCGCGGGACGGGTCCGAGATATATCGCGCCAGGAATTTCCATCTTGTGATTAGAAATCGGAAATTGGCGCTAGCTCCGATGCACTTGGCTTAGTTTGGCCCTTTGTTTCTACAATTGGAGACGCGTTATGAATGTGACATGAGGTACTTACAGCGGATTGCAAAGCTGCGCTCTTTGGTACATCTGAAGCGGTATTGCCGATTCGAAAAAAAGGAAAATTATTCACCCAGGAGGAAAAAAAAGGTGAAAATAATATTAAAGAAAGGCAGCTTTTGCAATTTTTTACTGTTACTATTAATAACTATTCAATAATTTTCTGTTCAAATCTTCTAATTGTTAATTACAATAAGTATAATTTTGTGTTTTAACAACAATTAAAGAACTCAAACTACTTGGAGCATCAAATGTTATAAAACCAGCGTTTTAAATACTTAAGCAGATATTATGTGGATTATATTGGATGGAATTCTTTTTATATAAAACCCTTATGGTCTATGACTCTGAAACATGGACTTTGGCAATATCTGATGAGGCCAATTTGGATATATTTGAGCGGAAGATTTTAAGGGCTATTCTTGGAGGTGTTAAGGAAAGTGATTGTTAGAGAAGACTGTATAGCGCAGAAATTTATAAATACTATAAAGACCCAGATATTGTAAAATTTATTAAGAACAATAGATTAAACTGGGCTGTTCATATATTTAGAATGAATGATTTAAACTTTGTAAAAAGGCTCGTTTTGGCAAAGCCATAGGGACAAAGAGGAAGAGGATAGACGCAGTTGAAAAAGATTTTGCTGTACTAAAGTTAAGAATTGGAGAACCTCTGTCACCCAGAGGACTGCATGGAAATCTCTTCAAAGGAAAGCCTTGCCCCACTCTGGGTTGTCGTGCTGATAATGATTAAAACTATATTCATTGTAGTTTGATTACATTTTTACCATTAAAAATTTAAACCCTACTATATGAAGATTGTTTTTCTTTTTTGGACATCTATGGGCCTTATGTTTAAATTCCATATACTACAAACAGCCCACTGACTTGCAATGAAAGGCAACAATGTTTTTTAGGAAAGCTTTTAGTACTAACTGCTCGCATTTGTTTGTCGTATGGATTGAAACAAAATATTTTCCAATAGTTGACCGTGATTATCGATGTAAGATGCTTATACATATCACAATCACCATAACGCAACCAATGCTGTTCTATTTTGGTTATATGTCACAGTCAGTTTTGCTAAAGCACTTTTTGCTGTTGTTGTTTCTTATCCTACTTGATAGACATCTAGACTCACACAATAATGGTCCCACAAACCCGTATGGACTCATGGTTGAACGGAAAGGGGGTAACTTCTGAAAAATTACTTTACAATTATTAACTTTTTATATAACTTCCACCCAGCAGTGAGGATTGAACTCACAACCCCTGGTTTACAAGACCAGTATTCTAATCACTGAACTATCTATGGCGGCTAAAACACTCATAAGTTATCATTGCGATAAAAAATTCACAGAATGTCACATTTTCAGTGTTTTGTTTTTCTTTAAATGTTCTTTTGTTCTATTCCTACTATCAGTTCACACTCTCCCTATATATATGTTGTTCAAATTTTCATTCTCTAATAAAATATTTTTTATTCATCCACTCAAGTTCAAATACATTTTTTGAACTTGTAATGTGATACACTTGATGTTAATACAGTTTTTTCAAATATTAATTCAGTAATTAAATTTAATTCATTAATTTTAGTTTTTTTTTTAGATTTAAGTTGCATGTATCTAATAATAGATGGCACCAGATGTAAGAGGAAAATTTCAACTTTATTTATAAAGGACTTTTCTGCAATATAGTGGGGAAAAAAATAGAATTGACTTAAAAAAATATTTTTTTATGTTACTTGTTCTTTTGTAACATAAAAAAAAAAAAAAAAAAAAAAAAAAAAAATTTTTTTTGGAAAATTTGGAAGTGAACTTTTGATGTATTTCTGAGCAACATTGATCTGAACTGTTTCAGGGATTTCTGTCTTTAATAACTTTGGCGAGCGAACCGGTTGGTTGCTCGAATCTGTGTCGGAGGATGAGTAGGCTGGAGCAAGTTAGTGACCTTGAACAGATGAAAGTGACGCTATCGCGGAAAAGAATTCAAATGAATTTAAATCTAGATTACTGGAAGCGAAGACATGTTGTCTGCCGTCAAATTTGCATGAATTTAAATGTCATTTGTTTGAATGTAAATGGATTTGAAATGCAAACAAAACATTCAACGAGTCGTTTGATTTTTAAATTTGAGTGATAAGAGGTTTTTTTTTGCATATTCGGTCATTTTATCTACGAAATTTACCATAATCGGATCAGATTAGATTAGTTATTTAAAACTGTTTTTGATAAAAACGTGAGAAGAAAACGAAAAATTGTTAGAATTATTGTTGCCAAAATAATTGCATAAATAAAGTTTTGTAAATTTACTCCTTTGTAACCTCTGAGAAATGATTGAAATAAGGTTAAATTTTCCATAATAAGCTTATTATTTGCGAGTTAATTCAAGAAGATTGCTCTACATCAGAGAAAAATGCACCGATTCATCTACAATCGACACGATCTAATTATAATTCTACTCAAAATGTCAGTTACAAATAAGTTACAGTAATTTAAAAAAGCTTCTTGTAAAATGGAAGAATAAAAAAAGTTATTTCCTTAAATTAAATTAATGAAAAAATAATTTTTAACGGAATCAATTATTATATACATACGTTAAAATGTAAGCAAAATAAAATAAAATTAAATAATTTTACTTAAATAATTAAAATTAATTAATTAAATTAATTAATAATATGCAATTTTAATAAAATTAAAATAAAGGATTTTCAAAATAAATGTAAAAAAATGCGTCTATAATCTATAGATAACATAATGTTTCTTCAAATGCAAGAAATATTGAAGGTTAACTCTCATTTCTTTTTTTTTTTTCAAAAATGAAATAATAAATTTAGTTTCTATTGAATAATTAATTTGCCATACACTTGAAATATTTCAATTTAGACGATATTTTTTATTTGAAAATTAATTGAAAACATTTTAGCTATTTCAATTGAAATGGTTTTTTACATTAGAAAAGTGATTATTCAAAATGAAAAAATAATTTTTTATATTAATTATATCATATAACGTGAATAAATATTTTGCAGTACAAGTTGAAATATTTTAATTTAGACGATATATATATATATATATATTTTACTTGAAGCGATAGAAATTGAATAGAAAACATTTTTGTAATTTCAGTTGAAATGGTTTCTTATAATAAAAAAGTGACTATTCAAAATGAAAAAATAATTTTTATAATAATTATATCATGCAAAATGAATTTTGGTACTAGTCTTTTCATGTCTTCCATATGATTTCAGTAACAGCAATAGATTTAGATAGATCTGCCATAGATTTTATACTTTCGAAGATAATTTAATGTAAATTGCACAACAACATGGCGTAGAAGTGAAGTCAGCCGTTTTGAAATACGAACAGTACAATGAAATTTACAAAGTAGGTGAATTTATTAGCATATAAAAATGGGCTATCATATGTCACCTACAGTGACAGAATGACGTAACCTTGAGGTTTTACGATATTTGTGTACACGAAACAGATGTGTCTTCACAATTTTTTCTCCGCATTTTTACCATCCAAGCTTTTTTTTTTTTTTAATATCGGCTTTAAATTATTCTATCAAAAGACAACCTTTAGAGGTGCGAGGTTATGTTTATATTTGTGACTCAAGGCCACATCAAGGTCAAATCTTTCTCAAAATGGCACAAAATAAGGCATAACATATTTGCGTTTTCCTGTATGTTGGCAGATAAGACACAATAAGGCATATCCAGATAAGGTAGACAGCATACAGATAAGGCATATCCTATATAAGGCATAACATATTTCCGTTATCCTATATGTTGTTAAACTATGAATCAATAGTTAATTAAAATCAAAAGTAAAGTTCAGGAAAAATGTACAAAAAACACTTCAATTTAAATAACTGTGGTTAATGAAATAAAATTTACTTATTACAACAAATGACAATGTTTAGAAGTGAAACTCATTCAGTTTAAATGACTCTTAAAAAATATATAATTTGAAAATTTAAAAAAAAAAAAAAAAACCAAAAAATTCTGTGATCTCTTCCTATTTCGGGGAGAATGGACTATAAGATAGCTTATTCTTCTTCATTGGAGCAATAGCCCCGTGGGACAACAAGGCCATCTGAATATTATAAGATTCCGAAACAGAATATGGTTTCTTTTTACCGCGTAGTTGTCAGCCCAACGCCAAGGTTATACAGTCATATTAGACCGTGACCAATGGTTTAAAGTGGATTAAGAATCACTACAAACATCCATGGCACAGCCAGAACTCTAACTCGAAACCTGTGGCACCGAGAGCCAGAGATAAGATATCTTACCTTTATTAAATGATATCTTCAGAGATTTTCATTATTCATTAAAAATGATATATTTAACAAATAATATACTGTCTGAATGGAATGAACTGAATATGGTATTAAAAATACAGCCACAATAGTTTTGTCCTTTACCCTCCTTCCACCTTCAGTTTGGCATTATCAGTTGTCCTAAAATCGCAATTTGCAGTGCAAGATATATAAGAATTTGATCCTTTAACTAATTAATTCAAAGTACCAAACTATTACCGTTAATTTTTCAGCAAACGTCAAATAGTGTATAATATTTAAGAAAATTCACATCTACCTGGCACCATTTTGATATTTGGTACAGAGTAAAAATTATATCAGAAATTTACAACAGATTATTTTACGAAGACTGAAGTAAAAAAAATATTAAAAAAAAGATTTAAAAAAATCATATTCAACTTACACGCTACATTTCAGTAACTGATACAATTTGCCAAGTTTTGTTATAATTTGTGCCCCTCACTTTTTTCAGAGTTGTAATCTTACCATCTTATATAAAAAGTCAAGATGCCAGTGGAAATTTGTCAAACGTCCAAACTCTTGCCAAACGAGTGAGATCTTCAAAGCTGAGCACCGATAATGTCAAGAGACATTGTAAGAACAGTTAGCTAAGAGTAACATGATTTTCAACTAAGGGGAAATATTATGCATTTCAGTAATGCAATGAAAAATAGCAATTTTTTTTACTTCAATTTACAGTTTACTTTTCCAAAGAAGTAATCTTTGCCAATAGCATGTAAAAAAAACAAGATGTCGCTGTCTCTACAAAAATCCCCAAGATTTATGGAAATAAGTCCCGATACTGCTAAAAGACATAATTTGCACAACAAAATATAGAGATCTCACTACCAAATTAATGAGGTTTTCAAAACTGAGCAACAATAATGCCAAGAGACATTGTAAAAACAGTTGGATAAGAGTAATATGATTCTCAACTAAGGAAAAATATCATGCATTTTAGTAATGCAATGAAAAATGGCATTTTTTTTTTTTACTTCAATCTACAGTCTACTTTTCCAAAGAAGTAATCTTTGCCAATGCATGTAAAAAATTAAGGTGTCACTGTATCTTCAAAAATTGCTAAGATTTATGGAAGTGAGCCCTGATACTGCTAAAAGACATAATTTGCAAAGCAAAATATAGAGATCTCACAACCAAACTAGTGAGAATTTCAAAACTAAGCACTGATAATGTCAGGAGACATTGTAAAAACAGTTAGCTAACAGTAATATAATTCTCAACTAAGGAAAAATATAATAAATTTCAGTAATCCAGTGAAAAATAGCAATTTATTTTTTTACTTCAATTTACAGTTTACTTTTCCAAAGACGTTAGCTTTGCCAATTGCATGTAGAAAAGCCAAGATGTCAAAAATCGCCAAGATTTATAGAAGTAAGTCTCGATACTGCTAAAAGACATAACTGCACAACAAAATATAAAATGTATATTTAACAATTGCTTGAAAATAAATTTATGCTGCAAATTAAAGTCACTAAAAACTCAACTTGTAACGAATTTCTTGATTCTTCTGCAATTATCGCAGCGATCTAATCTTTCCAGTTTATGCAAAAGAGCCAAGATTTGTCTGTCAATCGTCCAACAATCGCCAAACCGTAACCCACGGAGCGGGAGAGAGAGAATTCATGAAAGTGAGCACCGATATCGCCAAAGGCCATCACTGCTGAGCAAGGACGATAACGACGCTTGAGTGCGATTTCAAACCTCTGGTGATGCATCATGCGCAAAGAGAGAGGATTGCTCCAGAGATCCTTATCATTCATCCACATCGCGAAAGCGCTAAAGATAAAGATCTCCAAACATAAAAACACCACTAAGATACGATTCGCCATTTCAGGATGGCACGTCTTTTGACGTGGGTTTGTCACGCTGTGTCACTAACAAATGGATATATATACATCGAGCCGACTGCTGGCGTTCCTGGGAATTGCAAAGAATGTTCACTTAATGAGAGATTTCCCGAAAATGATAA